ATGCTGAAGTTTCCTCTCCCACCAAATTACAGCTGACAATTTAGAGCTCCCTCTCTGCTTTGTACTTCTCAAGTTGAATTAAAGCAAACAATCTTAGATTATAGTAGCTTACATAAATCCTTTAAATTTCATCTTATTGTTCTGATCTTTCAAGATCTCCGTTGGATTTTATTTATTTATTTTTTATTTATTTATTTATTTTTTTTTGAGACAGAGTCTCACTCTCTTGCCTGGGCTAGAGTGCCGTGGTGTCAGCCTAGCTCACAGCAACCTCAAACTCCTGGGCTCAAGCAATCCTCCTGCCTCAGCCTCCCGAGTAGCTGGGACTACAGGCATGCGCCACCATGCCCGGCTAATTTTTTCTATATATTTTTAGTTGTCCGATTAATTTCTTTCTATTTTTAGTAGAGACGGGGTCTCGCTCTTGCTCAGGCTGGTTTCGAACTCCTGAGCTCAAACAATCTGCCCGCCTCGGCCTCCCAGAGTGCTAGGATTACAGGCATGAGCCACCGTGCCCGGCCTGGATTTTATTTTTATAACCTGATATGTTAAAGATTCCTTCTAGCCTTGTGTATGCTGTATTAACATTCTTTGAGTGTTGTTTTAATCAGCTGTGAATTTATTTGACTTCTTTATATGGAGCTCACATTTTTTCATCTGCCTAGTAAATTCATCAAAGAAAGAACGGTTAATTTAGGTTGAGAAACCATCTGTAGATTTTGCAGACTGGGGAACCTGATTTTCTTGGACTTTCTTGTCTTGTGTTTTCTTGTTTCTTGTTCAAAAGGATTTGGACCTATGTCTGTATTTTGTGCCTGAAACACATGTACCAGTGGTGCCTGTTTCCCTGCACAGGGACTAGTTGAGGTCTGGAAAGTGTTTTTTTTTTTTTTTGAGACGGGGTCTTGCTCTGTTGCCTGGGCTAGGGTGCAGTGGTGTCAGCCTAGCTTACAGCAATCTCAAACTCCTGGGCTCATGCGATCCTCCTGCCTCAGCCAGTAGCTGGGACTAGGCATGTACCACCATGCCTGGCTAATTTTTCTATTTTTTTGTAGAAACGGAATCTTGCTCTTGGCTCAGGCTGGTTTCGAACTCCTGACCTCAAATGATTCTCCTATCTCAGCCTCCCAAAGTGCTAGGATTATAGGTGTGAGCCACTTCACCAAGCCAGCTCAATTTATTTCCTCTTGTCAGTTGAACATCATCTTCTCCCAGGGTCCTGTACTGCTTCCTCATGGATAAATGGGAATAACTTCCCCATCATGAATTTCGGGGGATGAGAAATTATGGTCATGGTAACTGTTTTGTTTTCATCTTCTTTAATGCCTGAAATTCCCGCTGTTGGGAATTATTCCTGTTTTTTAAAAGTATTATTCTTTCTCAAAATAAAAATGTGGGACTTTAAATATATAACACAGTAATCCATAATCTTGAGCAAATTGTGACAATTATTAGTAGTATTGGAAATCAGACTTAAAAACTTCAATTCATATTCATTGTTGATTAAATATAAAATAAATATTAACAAGAGATAATAAGATTACCTAAAACTTTTATTACTTAGATATGACTCATTGTAAACATCTGTATTCTAACAGATTTTTATATATAGTATATTTTAATAATTTCGTGTTATACATACTCCCTTATAACTTACTTTTCTCACTGATAGCTTTCAACATCGATAACAAGGATTATATTAACAGATTTTTATTTGTGTATATCATCAGTACTTAAATGGTTTTATACTGCGTATGCTATTTTAAATAGCATGCTCTCTCACTTATAATAATAGTTTTTGACATCTATCTGATCACAGTGAATGTACGACTCTAGCATTGCTTTTCTTCATATGGTGCAGGTATGATATTAGGTCATTAAACATGAAATGTCTGATTTTGAATCAAAAGTGTAGTTTATGATATCTCAAACAAGAAGCAGTACAATTAATCAAAGTATGCACCTAACCTATTGACACAATCTTGCCATCTTAACAGTAGCTTGTTTATGCCAGCAGCGAAGAAGCCTGGAAAACGAGTGGTGATGAAATTGTGAAAGGTGTTTTCCACAGTCTGTTGAGAATTGAATATTTTTCCTTGCAAGAAGTGCTCTAAAACCTGGAAGAAGTGGTAGTCAGTTGTTGCAAGGTCTGGTGAATACAGTGGATGGCAGAGTTTCTAAGTCCAGCTTCTGTAGTTTGAACAGCGTTGTTTGTGTGACATGGGGTTGAGCGTTGTCTTGCAAGAGGTTTGGCTTGTCTCTATTGACCAATCTCAGTTGCTTAATCGCAAGCGTCCTCATCATTTTGTACATTTGGTTGCAGCAGACATCTGCTGTAATCGCTTGACCAGGTTTCATCAAGCTGTAGTGGATAATACCAGTGCTGGACCACCAAACAGACACGATTAGCTTTTTTTGATGAATATTCAGTTTTGGAGCGTGTTTTGGAACTTCATTTTTATCCAACCATTGTGCCAAATGCTCTCGATTGTCAAAAAGAATCCATTTTCATGACATGTAACAATACGGTATAGAAATGGTTTGCTTTTATGTAGTGACAGCAAAGAAAGGCAAGTTTCGAGACGATTTCTCTTCTGATGCTTGTTTAATTTATGAGGAACCCATCTCTCCAGTTTCTTTACCTTGCTGATTTGTTTCAAATGGTCCAGTATTATTGGAGTGGTAATGTCAAACCTTGCTGCTAATTCACAGGTAGGTTGAGATGGATTCAGTTCCACTACATTTACCTAATCCTCTTCTGTGGGAAGCCAAAACCATTTTTTTTTTTTGGTATCATAAATAACATTGTGATAAATAGGTACAAACATAGTTCCTATTCACTTGTCTAATTATTTCTTTAGGATAAATTCTTAGCCCTGGAATTTCTCTTCCAAAGATAAATATACTTTAAAGACTTTTGACATGCACGTTGGCAAATTAGCATTTAGGAAAATTATACTGCTGTATATTCTCACCATAAATGTACAAAGGTACCCATTTTCCCACCAGTTTAGATGGAGATAATCTCCTTTCCTTGCTGTACTTACAATGATGATGTTAGGCCCAACTCAGTGATCCATGTTTCCAGAATTCTGTCTTTGTGCCTTTGCTCATGCTGTCTTCTCTTCTTGGAATGACTTTTCCCTCCTTTACTTTGCTAAGCCTACTTTTCCTTTACGACTATAAGGCCGGGAAATTTGTAGAACTTAATATTGCTGTGACTGTCACTTGATCAGGGATAGTCTTTTCATGGGAAGTTTATATTTGAAATTATCCTAGTACTTGTAACCTGGGACATGTCATGTTTTCCCATTTGTCTTTTCTTTCAGATCTGGGAGAACAGTTCATAAGTGGCCTTAAGCTCAAATCTCAAATTTCAAAACTCTCTGGGCCCTGTCTTGTGATTTAACATTTTTGTGTCTGTTTTCTGTCTTTTAAAGCTTCGAATGTCCTTCTGGTGAATTTTTCCAGGGGCAAAGTGAGAGTGGCAGAGGAGGAGGAGACTGTAGTTTTACTGTAAGTCCTGCTGCCAGGTAGACGGCCATAGAGGCCTAGCAAAGGTGAAGGTTAACAGAGAGGGCATATTCACGTGCTCGTAAATGCTGAATGAGCTAAGTGATAGCTCTGGAAAACTTCAGAGAATGGCCCCTGAGGACTGATGCTGAACTCAATAGACTCCTGAAGTAAAGGCTACTATGTTTGGGCCAAGAAAGCTGTACCAGTAATAGAGGTGCATCATGAAGCTGAGGCTACTTTTCTACTTTGGAGATTTGATGGTCTCTAATTGAGAAAGTATCTGGGAATTTATACTACAGTTCTAACCTGCCACCAACACCATTGCTAGCACAACCGATTAACTATATACCAAAATACTGCTGTACATGTCTTTATAATACTGGTTGGCTCATATGCATTTGAAAAATAGGGAAAAGATGTCAGTATAACATGAAAGTTGTTGATTCATATGCAGTATTCCCTGGTTTAGGAGAGCTGGGGTAGAGTCAATAACCTTTAACTGGAGAGGAAAAAATCCTGAACTCTGCTGTGAAGGCTGCAGGAGCCTTTTAGCATTATTTTAAGACAATTAGAAATGAGCACCTGCATCTAGGGCTTCCTCCCCAAGAGGTGCACCCCTAGCTTTCTCAGTTTCACTAGTGGCAGCCTCCTTTTTTTGCTTCTCTTACCTCTGCATTGTCTCAGCTGGCTAGCTTTCTCACTGTTGTTGTGCAGTGTTGACATTCTTTGAGACAGCTTTAAACTACTCAAGATGTTTGCCTGGGTATGCAAATATATCTCTCCAGGTACCAATTATTGCTTTTGTTACTTTTCTGGTTACAAACTTGAATAGGTTGTGTGTGGTCTGCCCTTTACCCTTTTTTCCTCATAAGCCTTGTTATTTTAATGTGAGGTTTTTCAGGAATGTGTATATTCACATGTGAGCAGAAATGCTTGCATTTCCTTCTTGGATTTTTTCCTGTGCATATTTTAATTTGTTATTATTTTTTAAATCTCAACTCTAGCTTCTAATACGTTGTGCTTATTTTTCAGGATTTGATTTCTTGAACTCATTTTGTCTTAGACACTTCAAAACCTTTCCTCTATTCATTGTTTTAGTCCTCTCCCCTTCTCACTTGCCTTCCTGTGATAATCTCTCCCACTCCCCCTTTTAGCGTTTTTTTGCATTTGATGTTATGTTTATAAGGTTAGGAAAACTTTTATTTGGCATTTAGGGGTGTTTAAGAGTCTTCCATTAGAAGCAAAGATTAAGTTTAAGAGTTCTTGTATTTTAATACTAGGGATATTTCACTATATTTTTAAATCAAAATTAGCATTAAAAGGTATTTTATTATAACAAATACATACAAAGTAAAATACATTAATAGTATGTAAGCATGCATTTATTATATGTTAACATAATTTTATAAGCACATTTATATTTATATAAAATGTACACATTTATGAATATGACTATATATAATGCTAATTTTGTTTTCCTCCAGGATGATCAGGATGGAAGTCAAGGTCTGGGCAAGAGAAAGAGAGTAAAACTAAGTAGTGGCACCAAAGGTATTTATATTGTTTTTTTTCCTTGAATAAAACACTTCTAAAAAGGTTTAATTAATAATACTTGATGGGCTAGCCATATTGACATCACAACTGTTTTGAATGGAGAGTTATGTTATTAAATTTATCTAATGATAGAAAAGTGTTGTTAAGGGGTTGGTTGTGGGGACCTCCAAAATAAGTAAGATTCTTACTATTGGGATTTTGTTCATTGTTTTCATCATAAAATGTCCTTTATCATATTTGAGTCCCCCAAAAAGGAGGTCTTTTCATTGATTACTTGATTTGGATCCAATATTTTTGGTGTGAAGTTTTAATTTGGTTTATATCCTTTCATAATCAAAATCATGCAATTTCAAAAGTGGAAAAGGAAAGGCAAGGAAGAGAGACAGACAGAATGGGAATGAATTAATAGCACTTAACACATAGTAAGGACTCAGTAAGGACTCATACATGCTTGCTTAAAGGAGGAAGTAGGTATGCCTATGGTGAGGGAATAGATTACTAACAATAATGATTAATATTTACTGAAGCTTTTGTATGTGCTAAACACTTCACATGCATTCATTCAATTCTCAAAGTAACTGTATGAAGCAGGTTTTATCATTATTACCATTTTATGAATGGAGAAACGGAGGCATGTTAGAGACCGTAGCTAATGAGAGGTAGATCCTTAATTCAAATCCCAAAGCCTAAGCTTTTAACCACTGTTTTCTTGACCCTCACTAAAAGCTTCTTTAGAGTACTTGTGATTAGTGGGCAGCCTGTGCTTTGGATTTTTGCCATGGATTTCCATGGTCTGTTTTCTGGGTTAGTGTAGTTTGTTAGAGGTTAAAATATTATTTTGATGAAAAGAAAATTCTTACTCCTGCTGATTTAGTGTATATTGTGGAATATCCAGGACTGCCTGGAAAGGTTGAACATGAAGCCTCCTTTTCTATGTCTGTTCTTAGTTACTTATGCTGCTGCATTTAACTCATGGGCTGCTAGCAAAGGTTATGAAATTTTATCTGCATTCCAGGATGCACACATGCACACATGTTCTCCTTCCTCCTGGCTCAGCAAAGAACCTATGATGCCTGAAGGAAATGAGAAACCCATATGACTAGCTGGCTCTTTAACTTCCAGAGTTGTCTGTGTATTTACCTGAGTCCTTGTGACACAAGTGAGTTGAAACAGATTGTTAGGAACATACTTGCATTTAAGCTTTAGGGATGCCTAAAAAATATCTGCTATGGTGTAAGAGGCCATTGTTTTCCTCAGCCTGGTCATACACTGACTGAAGGTGCTTTTTATGCAGACTTAAGTTTTATACCTAAATTTTTTTCCCATGTGGGTTTGGATTGAGTGCCTTCTCTTCCTTCCTCTAGTGGTAAAAAGTAGTATAGAAATTTAAGACTTGATCAGTTATCGTTTTTGGTTTAAGTTTATACATGGTAGAAACAGCTTTTTGAATTAGAACTCCAGGTGTTTTCAAAAGTGACTGCCTTTTTTTTTTTTCTTTTGAGGCAGTCTTGCTCTGTTGCCCAGGCTAGAGTGTGGTGAGTGTGGTGGCGTTAGCCTAGCTCACAGCAACCTCAGACTCCTGGGCTCAAGTGATCCTCCTGCCTCAACCTCCCGAGTAGCTTGGGACTACAGGCCTGAGCCATCAGGCCTGACTAATTTTTTTCTATTTTTAGTAAAGATGAGGTCTCGCTCTTGCTCAGGCTGGTCTCGAACTCCTGAGATCAAGCGATCCACCTGCCTCAGCCTCCCAGAGTGCTAGGTTAGCAGGAATGAGCCACCACACCCTGCCTAAAAGAGACTTGCTTTCGAATATATCTCAAGTTCAGGGAGTGGTTTAGCTTTTGTAAGAATTTGGTTCAACAGTTGGAAAGTGTACTGAAAATAAAATATGTAATGATTGGCAAGAAGCCAGGCACTATGCTAAACTCATCACTGCTTATTCTCAAAACCTAAATTTTAAGGATGAAGCAAATGAGACTAAGAGAGCTTTAACTGTATGATCAAGATTATTGAACTAGTGAGTGGCAGAGCTTGAACTCGACTGTCTAATTCAAATCTTTGCCTTAGACATGCATTTACACTGCATAGTGATTCTTCTCAGAAATCTCTTTTTACAATTTGACTTAAGGTAATTTAGGCATTGTTAAAACTCATGACAAGAATTAAAGGTAAATAGTCAAACTTAACTAATAGAAAATATCCCTAACCAGATTTCGCTAATGTTACACATAAAGCATATAATTTGTGTTTTAAAATCTTAGGAGACTGATATTACCTATTTTAAAAATAAAAATGAAGACATTGCTAGTTGTTTTTTGTCTGAACATAGAAAAACTGAATTCTGCATAACTGCAGCCATCCTCATTTTAGCTAAAGCCACAGTTTTTCTGGGGTATTCAGATTGCTTTATTGATTTAAAACATAGTTAATATATCTTTTAAATACTTGACAATTAATAATAATTACGGTGGCCTCAGACTTTTCGTTTGGCTAATGTGAGCTCTCAGAGTCATAACTATGAATTCTAAAATTAACGGTACTAGTTTTGTTCAGCTTTGTAAATACGTTAAGCACTTGCCTGTGAGGTTTTTATTTTGGTAGTCTGAAATTTTCAGTCATGTTTGTGTTAAGTGAATTGTGGGAATTAAATTAAGTACAGCAACGTGCTGTGGATTGCATTCTAATGTTTAATTGTAATTTTTACATTTCTGCTACCTAAGTCTCTTAGGCCCTATTTTTATTACTTTTTGGCCTCAAATCTGTCAGTGAGTCCCTTTTAACATATTTTACCTAATTTCTTACAAGCTTTGCTTATTTCTGTTTTTATTGTCACGCCCTGGGAATGATCTATTTCAGGAGGAAGAGATTACAAGTAAAAAACTCTGAGACATGAAAAATAATTACTTAATTTCTAATAAAGATATGTATAGTGTAATTGTATTTAGATGTTAACCCCTATTATATATTGCTTATACTAATGGTACCACTGAAGTGGAATTAGGGAGATGGGAAACTGTTTTGTCTCTCTGTAGTTAAAGTCATAATATCTCTAGCATATATAGGATTTTTTTGGTGCCATTTTTTCCCTTAATTATTAATGAAAAAACTGAGTTAAAGTTGTATCTAATAAGAATTGATTCAAGCCTTAGTAAACTCAGTATGTTTTATAAAAAAATCAAGAGAATGATGACATATTGAGCTTAACTGTTTTATACCCATTACCTGAGGAGATATGATGTGAAGGTATTATCCAGTAATAGAAGAACTGTGAAACTGGGGTAGAGTTAATTGAAAAAACTCTACAAGGTTACCCTGCAACACGCCTTGAACTGTGATGTAGTTAAGGCTGTACCTGAGTATTTTGACCTGTGTAATAGTGTTTTTTCAAGTCTCTCATCTAAATCTAGCCCCTGCTTAAGCAGTGTTGCTGAGCCAATCCATCCATAGTTGACACTTGCTGTATCCTCTCGATGTCGTTGTACAGAGCTGATGATTTAGAGCAATAGCTCAAGATCATTTCCTCTGACAAAGATTAATTGAATTTTCTAGTTAATTTGCAGGAAAAACAATTAGAGGAAGTGAGAGAAAGAGCTAAAATATTCAAAATATGTAGTTTATCATATTATACCTGTTGAGACTTTCTGTTGACTAAATGTGGCAAGGATGCAGAACTTTACAAGAGACAGACTAGCCCTCAAGGAGTGGCACTTGTCCTTAGAAATAGACTTTCTTCGTAGATAATGCTGTTCTTCTTGGAATACCTTTATTCAGAAGGGACATCCATTTCCCCTTTCCTCTGTGCATGCAGAGGGCATCTTGAACCCAGCAAAAGTAAGCAGATTAAAACACCCTGTAATTTTTCTGGTGTATTCTTACCAGAAAAAAGTAGATACTTCTATATATCAGAGTAAGCAATGTATTAGTAATTTTCTCTAGTGAGGTTAGTATCTCATTTATAAAGGCTAATTTTTTTTTTTTTTTTTGAGACAGAGTCTCACTCTCTTGCCTGGGCTAGAGTGCTGTGGCGTCAGCCTAGTTCACAGCAACCTCAGACTCCTGAGCTCAAGTGATCCTTCTGCCTCAGCCTCCCGAGTAGCTGGGACTACAGGCATGCACCACCATGCCCGGCTAATTTTTTCTATATGTTTTTAGTTGTCCGATTAATTTCTTTCTATTTTTAGTAGAGACGAGGTCTCACTCTTGCTCAGGCTGATCTCGAACTCCTGAGCTCAAACAATCCGCCCGCCTTGGCCTCCCAGAGTGCTAGGATTACGGGCGTGAGCCACTGTGCCTGGCCTATAAAGGCTAATTTTAAAGAAATGGATGAATTATTGAATCCTATAAAGATTTCTGTCCTTTTTTCTATAAATTAAAAATTTAAATAATGTTGGACTTTATTATGTCCTTGACTATTTACTTTTAGCTTAAAATTATTATTACTGTTAAATTAAGTACCATAAACATTTCTCTTACGAGATCATTTTTTTGAATCTTAGTAGATATTTTAGATAAATGGCTTATGTTTAAGGACACATAATTATTTTTTAATAACCTCTTTATATTAAAGTATAAGGATTCAATGTTTTGTTACTTATATACTGTGCAAATTACAGAAACCTAACTTCTTGTTGTCAGTATTATTGCATTATTGAAAGGGTATCCTTAATTTTTAGATACATTCTGGTTTTTGTGGTTAATGGGTTATTAATTATAATAAGTTTAAATGAGATGAGCAACTTCAATCATTAAGTGATAAATTTTCATTTTCTTATGCAGATCAGTCCATAATGGATGTTTTAAAGCATAAAAGCTTCCTAGAAGAACTATTGTTTTGGACTATAAAGTATGAATTCCCCCAGAAGATGGTAACTTTCTTACTCAACATGCTTCCAGATCAAGAGTATAAGGTGTCTATATTTTTCCTATATTTTTTCCCTGCTTTCTGAACTTTGCTTTCTTTTCTTTGCCTCTTTATTACTAAATTTTTTTTGATACATTTGTCAGCTGAGGATTTTTTTTTCTTTTTTCTTTTTTTTTTTTTCAGCGTATTATGGGGGTACAAATGTTTAGGTTATGTATATTGCCCTTTCCGCCTCCCGCCCCCCAGTCAGAGCTTCAAGCATGTCCATCCCCCGGACTGTGCTTATCGCACTCATTGTGTATGTATATACCCATTCCTTCCTCCCCCCTCCCCTCTGCCCGACACCAGATGAATGTTATTCCTATATGTGCACTTAGGTGTTGATCAGTTGAGGATCGATGTAATAGTATGAATGAGCATGTGCTGCTTGTCTTGCTAACAGAGTCTGCACAAAAAGCACAGTATATTAACGTTGTGGCAAAGCAGCATTACTCAGTGGAATACGCAAGGAAATTCTACATGGCACTTGGTCTGAAGGAACGGTAGGGGCAAGCATTAAAAACACAATTGCTGGGGGCCGAGTGGGGAAAAAAAACCCACAATTACAGACATAAATAATGTAGTTACAAATAGTTCTAAGTCCTCTGAAGGTGAAGAAGGTGCTATGAGAATGTTTAATGGGGGCAACTGAGTTTATTTATTTGTTTGCTTTTTAAAACTTTGTTTGAATATAACTGTGCTTACAGAAATACACTTATATTGGTTAATAGAATGCAATAATAAGTTTAACTTAGCCTACACAATTAGGACCAAAAAATTGGTATGTGGTTTAAAATTAAAAACAGGACTTGCAATCTGGTGCATTTATTTTTTTAGAGACTGAGTCTCATTCTGTTACCCAGATTGGAGTACGGTGGCGTGACTGTAGCTTACTGCAGCCTTGAACTCCTGAGCTCGAGTGATCCTCCTGCCTCAGCCTCCCAAGTAGCTGGGATTACAGGCACACACCACCATACCTGGCTTATTTTTTAATTTTTTTGTAGAGACAGGGTCTTTCTATATTGCCCAGGCTGGTCTTGAACTCCTGGCCTCAAGCAGTCCTCATGCCTTGGCCTCCCAAAGTACTGGGATTACAAGTGTGAGCCACTGTGCTCGGCCTGGTTTATTTATTTATTTATTTATTTATTTTTGAGACAGAGTCTCACTCTTTTGCCCAGGCTAGAGTGAGTGCCGTGGCGTCAGCCTAGCTCACAGCAACCTCACACTCCTGGGCTCAAGCAATCCTTCTGCCTCAGCCTCCTGGGTAGCTGGGACTACAGGCATGTGCCACCATGCCCGGCTAATTTTTTCTATATATTTTTAGTTGTCCGATTAATTTCTTTCTATTTTTGGTAGAGACAGGGTCTCACTCTTGCTCAGGCTGGTTTCGAACTCCTGAGCTCAAACAATCCACCTGCCTCGGCCTCCCAGAGTGCTAGGATTACAGGTGTGAGCCACTGCGCCCGGCCCAGGCCTGGTTTATTTTTATCTACAAATGTATAAAAGATCCTCTATCAAATGCTGCCAAAGAAGGCAGCAAGAACCTTGAGAAATTTACCTTTGGTTTGCCTCAGAAAAATAACAGATATTGTACTGTATAAGTTTATAAAATTGGTCCAACAAAACATTGTAATGTTTCAATGCCAGTTTACAAAGTACAGTAACTAATGGATGTGGAAGGGGGTGGGAGGGAGCCTATGTGTATGTGTGGAACTGTAAAAGCTATCTGATTTAGTTGGTATTGCATGTAGATTATAAATCTATATAAACCAAGATTCAGATAATTTCTTCAATCTGAATTGACACTATTAGCTCACTTCATCTGCTGATATCAACGAGGAAACTCAGCATACTAGCTGTAAGTTTTTCTGATTTAAGCATAAAAGAAGATTAAGTTTCTTCTTCAGCTTTTCAGTCTAGAAGTGACAGTATACCACAGGCAAGGTATTCCTTCCATTGTCAACATTCTTGAGGTGACATGCAATGATCTACTTGGGTTTTAATTTGTATCCCCACTCATATGCAAAATAGTCTCAAGTTAATGACCACATGCTTTAGAAGTGACTGTAAAAAATAAGATGGCTCTTCTTGGAAGATGAGAGCAAAACATCCAGCCATAGTTATAAGAAGCCTTATCAAAAGAAATGCAGCCCCTTGTGAATTACACTTCAATAAAAAAAGAATATCCCCAAAATAAGCAGTTCTGAAAAAAAAAGAGGAAAAAGTATAACTTAAAATATGTTGAAAACCAGTATGAATATAGGTTCAAAAGATAGCAACTGAATTTAGATTGTGGGGTTAGACATGTGAAAAACATGGGGTGAGTAATTGCTGGCCATAATTGTTAAAGAACAGTTATTAACTCATGTACAGATGTAGGTAGGCGAAGTTTGTAGTCCCAGAGGATCTGAACCCATCTGCTACCATATCATATAGTTATGGTAAAGTGACACAGCCGTGTATGAAAAGAAAATAAACCATGCTGTAATTCTTATGGTGTAGGTTAGGGGTGACACTTTAATAGTGCCATTGTTTTGTGTGTCTTTATACCTGCTAAAAAAGCAACAGAGGAAGTGTACATGTGACACGGAAAGGAAATAAGAGTAAATATAAGTAATACTGCGGAGCATTTAGTCAGATGAGTGGTCAGCTTTCAGATCAAATAGGAGAAGGAAGGTATTTGTTTTGAAGTAATCACATTAACTTACTTGTTTAATTATATTAAATTCTGTGTGATGGTTTGTAGCTGAGACTTTAGATTTTATTATTAAAGTAGGTGGTATAGAACAAAGACACTTACTTTGATTTTAGTAAATTGATACATTTGTGAGCAAAGTGTAATTATGTATTCTTAAACCACAGTATTTGTAATTGCTTTAAATCTTTAATAATTTAAAATGCCTATTAAAATTTTTTTAACTATCCAAGTATAATATTTTGTTAATGTTCCTAAAAAGGGAAAGACTACCCTCATCATTGAGAATTTTTCAGTTACTTTGGACATTATCAACAACTAGAAATAGCGTTAAAATGTTAATATATTGAAAAATGTCTTAAATTCAAAGTTAAACTAATGTGTGTTTTTCCTTCTATTTAAAAATTTCTACAGGTCGCTTTTACAAAAACTTTTGTTCAGCATTATGCTTTCATTATGAAAACACTGAAGAAAAGTCATGAATCAGACACAATGTCTAACAGAATTGTGCATATTAGTGTTCAGTTGTTCAGCAATGAGGAGCTAGCCAGACAGGTAACCGAAGAATGTCAGCTGCTGGATATTATGGTCACTGTGCTATTATACATGATGGAAAGTTGCCTTATTAAAAGTGAGCTACAAGGTAACTCAGAATTATATTCACTAGTTCTACTATTAGTATACTTTGTATAACAAGCTTTAAAAACACTGTATGCTTAAAAAGACTTTGAATAACTATAAAAATAATACATATTTGTTAAAGAAATTTTTGAAAATATCCAGTGAAGTTTAAAGTAAAAGTTAAAATCACTTATAGTTTTGTCATTCACAAATAACTCTTAATACTTTGCTGTATTTTTCCATCTTTTTGTGTGATATGACTATATTTATAGATATAAATATATACTTTAAAAAATGTTACCATATAATACATGTCAAAAATATATATTTTAATAATTGCAGATATTATTATATGACTGTGCCACAATTTAGCCATTTCCTTATTAGACATGTTCTTATTTTCTTATCATAAATTTGTTGCCATCAGCCTTAGAAATTTTTATGTGCATATACTTTTTTTTTTTTTGAGACAGAGTCTCACTGTGTTGCCTGGGCTAGAGTGCCGTGGCGTCATCTTAGCTCACAGCAACCTCAAACTCCTGGGCTCAAGCGATCCTCCTGCCTCAGCCTCCCAAGCAGCTGGGACTACAGGCATGCGCCACCATGCCCGGCTAGTTTTTTGTATATATTTTTAGTTGTCCTATTAATTTCTTTCTAATTTTAGTAGAGACGGGGTCTCGCTCTTGCTCAGGCTGGTCTCGAACTCCTGAGCTCAAACAATCCACCCGCCTCGGCCTCCCAGAGAGCTAGGATTACAGGCGTGAGCCACCGTGCCCAGCCTGCATATACTTTTATAATTTAAAAATTAGAATAAATCTTGCCTTTTCTATGTTCCCTTAGTGACAACTTTAATTTTCTTCTTTCGTGCCCACCATATGGTTGATACTACTCAACCCGACAATATTTCTATGCCTCTTCCTATTTTCATTTCTCTGTGGCCTTTCATCTTAACTTTACCTCCCTTAAATAATTTATATTATTTGAATATTTGCTCTGTACCAGGCACTTGTTAAACACTGTTCATATGTTGTCTCAATTAAGCTTCTGAACAACTCTTCTGAGATTAGCATTATTATCATCCTAGCTTTGAAGATAGTACGTTGAGGCTTAGGAACATTAAGTCAGTTGCTGTAAATTATACAGCTAGTAAATGACAGATCCAAGTAGTATCTCATGTCTCCTGCTGTCAGAACTCTTGTTCTTAACCATGATACAGCCAGGCCCACATTGATAAGACTGCATCTTCGCACGTTGGCACCTGGAGCTAAACTTCAAAAATAACAAAAAATGGCTCAAATTAAATTTTAGAATCTTTCCATTCTCTGAGGAGGAGAGATCTTGTAGTTGAGCCTTGCCTTGTTCTACTGTTGCCCTCTTGTGCATATCAGTTCCTATTTTCTCATTACACTCATAGTTTGTCTGTTCTTGTATGTGACTCTATATCTTGAAAATTGATACATGCTCAGTGCAATTCATAATTCCTTATATGTAATAATAGCTAGTCAGTTATGATAGCTACCATCTTTTGAGTACTCACTATACACCAGGCTCTTTTCTCAGCACTTTATATTACATTTAGCCATCAATAATTATTTGAAATAGATATTGTTGTCTCCATTTTATAGATGAAGCAGCTGTGGCTTTGGCAGTCAAAGTCAATGATCTGTGGTATTACAGCCCTCAGTGATGATGCTAGGTGTCTAACCTAAAAGCCTATACCCTTTCATACTCATTATGTGACTCTGCCTCCCCATTGTAGGAATAGGGGGAGCATAATACATTATTTACATTAAGCAATATACCTTTTTACTTTTTTACAAGAAAATTTAAAAGTTGCTGTGTGTTATAGTTTCCCTAACTTCATGTAACGTGACCTTTTTTTCTTAGAGTTTTAGCTACTTATATTGCTTTTTTTTTCCTTTTTGAAATAATATCTATTGTCGTTCTGCTGTGTCAGTTATATTCTTATATAGATTTATATTAAGAAAGACTTTTAGCAAAAATAGTGTTTTTATCTATAAACTAGAAAACCTAAAATTTAGATGTATCCTTTTGAAAAGAATCTGTAGTCTATTTTCTTGACTAAGTGATTTAGCTGGGCTTATTTATTACATATGATTTGCATTTGGTCTTTAAGGAAGAATTTTGGGAAAAAGATGCATGTAAGTCTGCCTTCCATTTATTTTTTTATAGCCAGTTTTCCTGAGTTTTTAAATTTATTTTTCTACCTTCTAGTCACTCAGTAGCCTACCTCAATCCAGTGTCCTCTCCTTTGTTCTATTGAAATTGGTCTTTACAAAATTCTCCATGATTCAAGTGGCATGTCCTACTTCTCCCAGAACAGTCCCAAGTTATGCTATTGTTCTGACATAGTTATTAATATGGTCCCTTTTATTCTCAAAAATGTCCCGGTTTATATGATAAATTATATGGTCCCACTTTCGTAAACTACATGATGAGGAAGCCAGTGGTCACACTTTAGACTTTATCTTTCTTGATTTTTAGTAGCATTTCACACTGTTGATTCTCTGCTCTTTCTGTGGCCCAATACTCTTCTCTACATGTTCTATCAGTGTTGGTGTTTCTTGGTGTCCTGGTGTCTCTGCTTTTCCTCCTTTTCCTATAAACATACTATGTGATCTCAGTTGCTTTTTACATATACTTTCCTTATGCAGTTAGTCAGTTCTAGACATTTTTACATAAATTGAATTTTCTAGAAGCTGAATATCTATAGATAGCATTATAAATGTATTTTTTCTGGCAGTAAATTACATTATCTACAACCAAGGTCTAAAACTATTTTTAGCAGCCTTCAAACTTTATCATAGCCTTTTCTTTCCTTTTTTAATAGTAGCACAATATTTCGTGATATATATTTACTGTTTTTCTAAAAGTATCCCAACCTTTCAATGTTTTTACATTAAGAATATTAGAACAAGCTTTAAATATATTGAACTCTACCTATAACTAGCCACAAATATTACAACTTTCTTTTTATTTTTTTAATAGCCCCTATCTAGCCTTGGTTTAAATTGTCATTAGATAATATTTTAAACTATTATCTATACTGTTAGTGAATACAGGAGCTAATACAATGAGAATTAACATGGCTACAACAGTAGCTGAAGAATAAAAGGAAAAAGCTTTCACATACATGGTCCCTACCTTTTACTTTGTTATGTTCATTTCCACATCATACTGCTTTGTGGTTCCAAACATCTCATAATTTTACATGCCCTTGAAATTTTAGAATTTGTCTTAAGAAACAGTCTGTGTAAAATGGAATTTAAAACCACATGTTGCATAACCCTAGGAATGTCCGTAGATGCTAATAATCCCAGATTGTTCTTCTGCCCTGCATATCAAACTACTTATTAAACTCTCTTCCTTGGATGTGTGTTAGCACTTCAAACACACAATGTCCACAGCAAAAACTCATTACCTGTCAAGCTGGCTTCTTTTCCATTATCCTGCATGTGCACACGCATGTTTGTGTGTGTGTGTGTGTGTGTGTGTGTGTGTGTGTGTGTGTGAGCATTTGAGCATGTGTTTTGATCCCACTGTCTAACCAACTGTTGCCCAACCTAAAAACCTGGGAGTTATCTTTGACTTCTTTTTACTCCTTGAAGATAGAGCAAACATCACCACTCTGTCATTTAAACCTAAATGTCTTTACATAGCCACTTCTCTTCATGTCTGCATCTTCATGCCGCCACCCTAGTTTAAGCCATTGCCATCTCTGGGCTTCTTATCTCTACTTATCACCACCCTCCTCCAGTCACTCTTCACACTACACATCTGATCATGTTCCTTCTCTGAAAACCTACCCAGTGGCTTCCATTCTCTTCATGTGAACCCTAAACTACTTGAAGCTGTTTTATAAGGCCCTCTAGCTTCGTTTGTACCACCCATGCCCTTCATTCTTTGTCTAAGTGATTCCAACCTTTTCTTACATACTGCTTCCTGTTACCTGGAATACCGTTTGCTCCCCATCCCTAGTTTATCTGGCTAATCCTAATTCCTACTTTATTTTACAGATTTTAGTTTAAACATCACTTCCTCAGGAGAATCTTTTCTTGAATTGTAGGCTAGCTTTATTTGTTCTTATGACTCCCTATACTTTTCCTATTACGGCCCTTATCACACTGTCTTACATATTAATCTCAGTAGAGAGAGACCATGTAAATCTTGATTTATTTACTACTTTATTCTCAGAGATCAGTTGAATACCTGACCCTCAGTAGGTGCTCAATAAATATTTGTTGATGAGTGAATTTCATTTAACACTGAATCATTGCTCTTTATATTTGTAGAAGGAAAGTACCAGTTTGGGTAAAAATAAAAGTCCTAATCATTTTATTTCATTAAAGATTGCAAGGCATTTTTCACAAAAACAGCAGTATTTAAAGCAGTGTCAGGAAAATAGTGATTTTTGACTAATTATATTCTGCTTATTCATCCTCTGGTTTCAATAAAATAGAGCAATGATTATCAATTTTTAATAAAAAAAATCCCAACATCTCTCAGCACTGTCCCATCAATATCAATGATTTACCAGCTCACAGTGGCAGTAGTTGTCACTTGTGGGGTGCTTTTCAGAATCTCAGATGTAGTTAATGTGTAAAAGTCCCCCTCAGCCTTACTCCCTCATGGAGTTATACCCTCTCTCATCCATTGACATATTTGTTAAACTTAAGAGTTGTGTAAAATAATTCAGTGGACTGAAACCTAGATTTGATGTGTGGAAATTAAGTGGGGGCCCTCCTCACTGATGAGTTTGACAGGTACGTAGTTAATTGAACAAGTTGGTTAAAGTGAGGAATCATTAAAAAATGTTTATATACCTTAAACATTGTGTTTTAACTTAAAACACAGAAATGTGTGTTCATTCTCCAATCTTTTAATTTTGGGTAAAGCACTTTCAGGATATGGTTTCTTTGTCTGGAGTTCTCTCTTATCCTTCTTATGTATATCATATCTATAAAACATTATCTGTGAATTCTAGTTTTAGTTTCTTTAAAGTACAGATAGATTATAAAGATCTTTGTGAAGCAATCTGAGTGTAAAATACTTCTAGGCTTCTGTGATTTTTCTGCCCCAAAGTTTTTTTTAGCTGTTTTCCCTGCCCCCTGCCACTTTTTTTTTTTTTTTTTTTAACGTGAATGGGTTCTCGCTCTGTTCCCCAGGCTGGAGTGCAGTAGTACAATCATAGCTCACTGCAGCCTTGACTTCCTGGGCTCAAGCCATCCTCTTCGCACTTATTTTTACTGTCTTTCAAAAGCATATGATCCAGTTTCTGTAAGATGTCTCTTTATGCATTCATATTTCATTTGTTCATATACTTTTGATTTCAATTTTATAGTTATGATAAAGAGAACGATTAGCATGAGCAAAAACAAAAACTGACTCTGGGTAACCATATACCTCAGCTTGTGTATTAGGCAATAGGCTACTAGTCTTGAACATTCCATGTATTATGGGTAATAGTATGCTTTACAGTGAGAATGGAGGGCTTCTTAGTCCAGTGAATCAGTTAAGTTGGAATAGGTTAAGATAGGTAATGTATATATACTAATAATTTTTGATGATAAAGATTTTGTACAAGCCTAATTTTTTCCCCAGCCATGTATTTAAGCTTTGAGGATTTTTTTAATGCTTAAGAAGTTTATGTGTATTTTTTCTTCTTTTATCTTTGAAATAGTGTTTGCTAAAAATTGTATTTACATATTCTTTGAATAGAAGAAAGCAAATATATATTGCTCGAAATCATACAGATTTGATTGATCAGATGGAATGAATCTAGAGATAAAAATGTTTTGATGATTGGAACTGAAAATATTGCATTATGTTACCAGAATCAAGAAAATAAGGATTTATAAACATAGGTAGCTCAGTATCGTGTAGTATATTGGACTTGTAGTAATAATTACTATAATAATGTGCTAAGTGCTTTTTGTTAAACCCCCATTTAATTCCTTTAAGATACATGTTTTTATTTTTCATCTTACGGATCAGGAAATTGATTCAGAGAGTCTAAATAACATGCCTAAAGCCTTATAGGTATTAAATGGTAGGCTGGGGTTTGAATTTAGGTATCTCCTGATTCTAAAGTGCACAGTATTCTGTGTCATTGGTTAAGTTTTTTTTTTTTTTTTTTAAAAACTTATTTAATTTTGGGCTATGTGTGTCTTTTTTAGATGAAGAAAATAGTTTACATGTGGTAGTAAACTGTGGAGAAGCATTACTGAAGAATAACACTTACTGGCCTCTTGTTAGTGATTTTATTAATATTCTTTCTCATCAAAGTGTGGCTAAGAGATTTTTGGAGGATCATGGTTTGTTAGTTACATGGATGAACTTTGTATCTTTCTTTCAAGGTATGAATTTTACCCTTTCTGTTAATTCTTTTTGGTTGACAAAATGCCTATTGCTAAACTATTAAATACTGATTAAAATATAATAGCACATCATTCAGGCTATAAATGAAATGTCTCAGTATTTTAATTAATTGTTATTTGTAAGTACTTTAATAAATTGTTCATGAAAATATTGGAGAGGTAGGAAAAATGTCAAATTATTAAAAAGGAAACAGGAGTGTAATTTTTTTTTTTTTTTTTTTGGAGACAGAGTCTCACTCTATTGCCTGGAGTAGAGTGCTGTGGCGTCAGCCTAGCTCACAGCAACCTCAAACTCCTGGGCTCGAGCAATCCTACTGCCTCAGCCTCCTGAGTAGCTGGGACTACAGGCATGTGCCACCATGCCTGGCTAATATTTTCTATTTTTAGTTGTTTGGCCAATTTCTTTCTATTTTTAGTAGAGACGGGGTCTCGCTCTTGCTCAGGCTGGTCTCGAACTCCTGAGCTCAAACGATCCGCCCGCCTCGGCCTCCCAGAGTGCTAGGATTACAGACGTGAGCCACCGCGCCCGGCCCAGGAGCATAATTTTTAATCACTTTAAATCATTAATCTAGAAATGTGAAATCTATTCTCCATGAAAGATTTGTAACACTTTATAAAAATTTCAACTAAGATCAATTAAAATTGTTTTGGCTTTTTTCTTTAAAGATATTAAATTTGTTATGTAAGAGACGATTCACAAAGGTTTTCTAGTTTATAAAAAATTCTAAAAGGACAAGATTATTCCATTTTAAATGATCTACTTATTTCTATATTAAGTCATTTATGCCATTTATGTGCATAAAAAGTGTTTGGGACTGGGAAATGTTTTGCTTGATTTTTAATCTGAATGCTTGCTTCCATTTGACAAGGTTTATATCTGCTTTAATTTTTGCAAGGTATGAACTTAAATAAGCGAGAACTAAATGAACATGTGGAGTTTGAGTCTCAGACATACTATGCTGCCTTTGCTGCTGAACTTGAGGCCTGTGCACAGCCAATGTGGGGGCTCTTATCACATTGTAAAGTTAGGGTATGTTGGAAATAGTTTTGTTAATTTCTATATTTACTTATAATTATTTAAGAAAAAGATTTGTGAAAACATTGGTTTGTTTACTTATATAACATGCAGTGTTTAATTCTGTTTCAAATTGAATTCAACTTTGTGAAAACTGACCAGAGACAGTAATTTTTATTCTTAGGCAGATTGGAATTAATTTATATTATCAGATCTTCCCAACCTGCCCCTATCGTGAATAGTCTTTGGAACTATTATAAGTTCCAGAGAACTAATAAGTCTCCATATTGATCTTTAATTATTTCACTTCACCTGTTATCAGTTGCTTAATGCTTCTTATCTTTCACAGGGTAGGATAGTGCTCAGTAAAATTTACACATTTAAGATTCTAAGCTCAAAATCTGTTTCAATTCCACAAAACTTCTGGTTGTTGATATGTATTATAATATGATATTATAATGTAAGCATTGGTTTGATGGGTATCCAGAAACATTGGACAGTCCAGAAAAATGGAATCCCCTGACCCTGTTAAACTAAGGACTTGACTAAGATTTTGATATATGAACCCTAAGAAGTCCAACCTGTTAGCCTGTGGCAGTAAGCATGCTGGACAAGATTTTATAGTGGAAATATTTTGAAGCCCTGGGTTCTAGTCTTGGCTTTGCCTCTTTGTGCTTGGGTGACTTGGTCAACTCATTTAAAACTATTCAAACTTCTTAGTCTGTTTCCTTATTCTTAAAAAAAAAAAAAAAAAGGGAAATGGGACAACAAAGCCTGCTCTTCCTCATAGGTTATTATGGGGCTGTCTTCCATCTACCTTTAAATGTATATGTTTCTCTGAGCAGATTTATATTTTCTCCCATGAGTTCAGCTGTTCTCTAAATGCAGATGACTCACAGCTTTGTTACAGTCTTAACAGGCTCAAATTTCTCCTTTTGGTACATCAATTTTTTCTTCTTCCAAATGCTGTTGTAAGCCAAGATATTCACAGGCTGCTTACGGTACTCATGTGTTCTGCCCTCCTATTTTACTGTGTAAAATATACATAATGTACATAATTTACCACTTTAACCATTTTTAGGTGTACAATTCAATGACATTAAGTACATTCACAATGTTGTACAACCATCTCTACTATCCCTTTCCAGTACTTTTTTATCAGCCTCAAAGAAACTCTGTACCCATTAAACAGTAGCATTAGGGAATTTATAATATTTTGTGAGTCTCTTGAAATGGAACTTGATTTAAATCTACTTAAAATCTATTTCAGCTTTCATTTGTTTTTAGAAATATATAAAAGGAAGTATGTTGTGTTATTGTCTTCTTTAATTTTCACACTTGTCACTGGTTGTTTATGAAGGGATGATTTTTTGAAATGGTAAATATAGTGGTTATCTTGAAATCATTTTTCCATTATATATTCAATGCATATAATTATTATTATGTATTATAAGTAATTTGATGTTAAAAATATACATGTTTATATAATTTTAAAATTTATAGAATTTATTATTTTAGGAAACTCAAGAATATACCCGAAATGTTGTTAGATATTGCCTTGAAGCGCTTCAAGACTGGTTTGATGCTATTAACTTTGTAGATGAGGTATGTATATTTTTGATATATGGAAACACATTTAGAAAAGTTTTAGATCCCATTTAATGTTAAAAATGATGAAAATTTTTTTGTGGCTAGAGAATAATGAACATAATATTATTAGGCTTTAACATAATATTATTAGGCTTTAAAAAAAGTTGAAAGGGGAGACCCGTTCTTTGGACATTTAGAAGATTCTAGAGTACACAAATATGTCTACTGTTTTCTAGAGAAGAGTGGCATAATTTCTTTTTCTGTTATTAAGTGTGTACATCTCATTATTTCTCAGGAGTGAAAATTAGTTCCAGTTGAATATGTATAAGTGACAATGCAAATGTGAGTAGGATAGGGGAGATTAATGGAAAGGGTATCAGAACTTCATTAATTGGACATTGTTCTCTTTTTCAGAGTATATAGGAAAAGATGGGCTTGAACAAAGATGATTGTTATTAATAATGGATTTAGAAGAGTTGGCACAGGACTTGCTATATATGAATTGGACAAGTGGTTGCTTTTATTAGTCAGCCAAGTTTACCATCAGAAGCTCCTTCTATTCCTCTTATGAAGTAGGGTCAGAGTATGCAGAAGGAAGACCACGATTTAAACAACTTGACCCCACCCCTTCATCTTCTGAACCCTGGGCATATGGAACTCTTATTCTGTGTGTGTGTGTGTGTGTGTGTGTGTGTGTGTAGGGGAGGCAAATTTTAGCTCTTGCCTTTTCTCTTTTTGTTTTTTTAAATTTTGTCACAATCACAAATTTATTGAAAAGTTGGGTGTATAAAGAACTTTTCTTGAACCATTTGAGAATTAAGTTGTTACTGCATTACTCCCACATACTTCAGTGTGTATTTCCTACAAACGAGGACATTCTCTTCTATAACCTGAATATAACTATGAAAATCATTAATATATTATTACCATCTAATCTTTATTTTATTTATTTATTTTTGAGACAAACTCTGGCTCTGTTGCCCTGGCTAGAGTGCCATGGCATCAGTCTAGCTCACAGCAACCTCAAACTCCTGGGCTCAAGCGATCTTCCTGCCTCAGCCTCCCGAGTAGCCGGAACTACAGGCATGCGCCACCATACCTGGCTAATTTTTTCTATATATATATTTTTAGTTGTCCAGATAATTTATTTGTACTTTTAGTAGAGATGGGGTCTCGCTCTTGCTCAGGCTGGTCTCAAACTCCTGACCTTGAGCGATTCACCCGCCTCGGCCTCCCAGAGTGCTAGGATTACAGGCGTGAGCTACCGCGCCCGGCCACCATCTAATATTTAGAACTCATTTATGTTTTGCCAGTCATCCAATCATATCCTTTACAGAAAAAGGATCTGGTTCAGAATCACATGTTGCATTTTGTTATTATGTCTCTAGTTTCCCTCTGAAACAATTTCTCAGTCTTACTCTGCTTTTTAGGACAGTGACATTTTGAAGAATACAGATTAGTTATTTTATAGAATTTCCCTCAATTTGTATTTGTCTCATGATTTGGTTCAGATTACGTATCTTTTTCAGGAATATTACAGAAGTGATGTTGTAGTCTTTTCATTGCAGCCTATCTGGTAGTTTGTGAATTGTGTTTATTATTAATGATGTTCCCTTTGATCATTTGATTAGGGTGGTGCTTGCTAGACTTCTTCACCATAAAGTTACCCTTTTTCTCATTATAATTAATAAAGTATTTTGTGAGGATGTACTTTGAAGTTATACAAATATATCTGTTTTCTCATCCAATATTCTATTCTATTCATTTAATTTTGGAGACAGCGTCTTGTTCTGCTGCTCCGGCTGGAGTGGTGTGATCATAGCCCCTGGGCTCAAGTGATCCTCCTGTCTCAGCCTCCCAAGTATCTGGGACTACAGGCGTGTGCCACCATGCTCAGCTAATTTTTCTTTTTCTTTTTTGTAGAGATGAGGTCTTACTATGTTGACCAGGCTGGTCTTGAATTCTTGGCCTCAGGTGATCCTCCCACCTCAGCCTCCCAAAGTGCTGGGATTACAGGATTTATTTATTTTTATCTGTAGAGATTTATAGTTTCTATTTTATTCAGTGGGTGATAAGCCATTACTGTTACTATTTGATGCTCAAATTGTTTCAGATTTGCCCAATGAAAGCCCTTTCAAGCTGGTTTCTGTGTCCTTTTGCTTTTCTCATCATTCCATGAGTACTTGCATGCTTTCTGGCCCAACAGGATGTTTCAGGCTCACCTTATAGTTTCCGTGTTCAATTCCTGGAATCAGTCATTTCTTTAAGGTTCCCTGGTCACTTTTAGTGGAGAACAGTATTTAGAAAGATCTGGGTACTAGGCGCGCATTGCTGTTGGGGTGTCACTGCTCCCATGCCCTAACAATGAACAGAGGTTCGGAGTATGTATATGTATAAACATATTGCTGTATTTATTTTTCTGTCTCAAAATAGTGAAAGCTGTAAGTTCAAACTGATATGTTTATTTTTTATTTATTTATTTATTTATTTTCCAAAAAAAAGAACTCAGGAGAAAAAACCAATATGTTTAATTCCAGGATAACACCATAGGACTTATTCTAGTTTTCTTCAGCAGTGAGAAAAGTAACTGTCATCATTCTTAATATATTTACTTATTTAGCAAAAAATTTTATATTTTATATTTATATTTATATATATTTTTGTATAACCAATCTGTCATCTCTGTTGCTTCTTTCCCCTGCATGGATGCCCTCTTTTTCCTGCTTTGACTCCGAGTCCTCGTCCTGTTTTCCCCTCCCTCATATGTAGATACCCCTCCTCATCCAGCTCCACCTCTGACTCTCCACCTTGAACTGCTCTTCTGTAAAGAAGCCCTTAACATCTTATTTGTGCTTTGAACTCCCACACCATACTTTTCCTCTTTTTGGATGCTCATGTCATCCTGCTTTGGCTCTTTTGATGCCTCATGTTGGTCCCTTTGCACATGTGGTTAACCCCCTCATCCTGCTTGAATTTTGATTCTCTATTCCAGGGTGGCCACCTGTATCATTGCCCTCTTTACCTCATTCAGGCTCTGATTCCCCATGCCAGGTCAGTCCCCACGTGGAGACCTTCCTTACCCAGATTGGCTCTGACACACTACATTGGGCTGCCCTGCTGTATGGATGCCCTTTTGACTCTGCTTGTGTCCGACTGCCTGTGCCAGGCCACATTCCCTATTCTAAGTCACACCTGAGCAACCTCTGACATCTCAACCCTCCCCACCCTGTCACACCCTGCACAGTTGCTCTTCTCAGTCTGGGCTCTGACTACCCTCTCAGGTTCCTCCCCTTCAGATGCTTGCCGGAGTTAGCTACGCTCCCAGCAAAATCGGGTCCCTTTGTCGGAGGTTGTCGCAAGGGATATGGAAATAATAGAAATAGAAAATAGAGAATAGAGAAATAAAAGAAGACACAGAGACAAAAGTATAGTTTTAAAGATGGGGGAGTCAGGAGGTCCTCTAGCATTCCCATGAGCTGTGAGGTCCCGAGCGAAGTCCCGCATCAGTATTTATTGGTACAGAAATCAGTTGCCAGTGGTAACAGATTTACATAATAACAGGTAGTTTGTTTAGGTTGAAACTCTCCCCAAAAGCTTCTAGAGATCCCTTAATTAACTCTATCTATGTGGGCAAACACTTACAAAATCTTTTTAAGATAAACTTCTAAGTCATAAGATAAAATTATCACTTAGCAGAAAGGCTAAACAGAAATACAGTGGCTCTATATTTCTTTATCTAATTTTTTGTTGATTGAGACAAGTAGCCAGGAGTGAAGCAGGAACTGTCCTTTAGGCCAATTGTTTCTAGTTGCAGGTGTCTGTCGGGCAGGCATTCTTTGATTAGTTCTCAACCTGTGACCACATACCAAGCCTTGTCCTACAGAGGCGTCAGGCACAAGCAGCCTTCAGGTCTGAGACAGCGTCGCCATCAAATGCTTCTGACTGGTGAGATGCCTTCCTGAGGCGAGGCAGCTTTTCATCTGTGAACTAACACGTTCACATATTCCTTCAAGGCAAAGCCCTGCAAAACTCCTGAAATCTTTTATGTCATAGGCCAAAAATGCTTATTTTCCCCTGCCCCCTCTCAACCTTCCACTGGCTTTAGGAATGAATCAGAGGAAGGGTAGAGCCCTCTGTTATCTTTAATCCTTCCTGCCCCAAATTAATTTATCTTCACCCCTCCTCCAACATTTATGTCTGCTCTTAGTCTTCAACCTGGATTTTGTTCATTTGGATTCTGATTCTGCCTTCACCTTGATTCTTAGTCTTGTCTTTAAGTTTAAACTTCATTTGTATAAATGGCAATGAGTCAGTCTTCAGAGAAAATATTCTACAGCCTCCACAGAGCTCTGTCGTATTTTCAGCCTGCTTTACTCCTCCTTCGCCCATCCAGGATTTGTCCCTTAGCTGGAGCTTTTCTCAACCCAGTTCTGATTGGTGTTTGAAACTTTGGGAATTATTTTTGAAATGGTAGCAGCACTAAGACAAGAAAAAGATTGAAGTGGGAGAAAATTATATTATACACAGAGAATGATGTTGTAAATGACATGAAATTAATGCATGGTTAGAATCGAGTGGAGTTAAGTACAGTTAGAATCATGTATGATATACAGAACAGCTGAACTCAAGGAAGTTGTATATATGTTTTTCACACAGAAATATTTCTAGGAAGATATAGAATATATGTGTGTGTATGTGTGTATATATATATATATGTATAAAGATGTTATAGAATAGATAAAGAATTTAAACTGATTTTTAAAAGACAAGAAAATAAGTATAGAACTTAAGAAATCAAACAATATGTTTTTATACAGAGTTTAAAAGTTTTTTATTATCCCCCCCTTTTGTAGCTGTGAAGTGGAAATTTAGAGATATTAAATGACTTTCCTATAGTTATGTAGCAAATCACTGGTAGTTCTGGGTCCAGAGCCCACATCTCTCAATTTCTTGTCTGGTAGTGTTTCAACTGTCCTGGTTATTGGCAATGGAAAGAGCTTTAGAGCAAGGTGGATTGGAGTGTAAATTGGGCTCTGCCATGATCCAACTAGCTATGTGACCTTGGGCAGATTTTTAAAAATTTTATTTTTTATATATTTTTCATTTTTTAACATTGCTGAGCCTATTTCCTCATCTATTGAAGATGATAATATTAACCAATGAGGATTGACTAAGAGGCACATATTATATATGTGATAAATACTAGTTCTTCTTCCATCCTTGTGGGTGGATATCAGAAGTTACTATGGTAATCTAGTATAAATTAAGCAAATAATATATTTTGAACTGAATTAAGACAAATCAAACAATCATACAGAAGCAGGAGATGGAATAAATTTTCCTATAAGGGAGGCCATTTAAGTATTCTTTAATACATGAATATCATGTAGGGCAATGATTGTGAATATGTAACAGAGTGGTTTAACTAGGGTCCTCTGATGAGAGGAAGGTAGAACATGCATTCATCCAACAAATATTTATTGAATGTTTACTGTGTTGTAAACACTGGGGATACAGTGATGAGACTGTCCCCAACTTAAGGAAGTGGAAGAGAAGTAAATGGTTAATTTGATTCCAGTGCTTCTGTAAAATTGTGACCAGGTGCTGTGGGGAAGACTAGAAGGGAATACCTGATTTAGCCTGAAGATCTCAGAAAAAGCGTCCTAGTAGAAGTGTCAGTTGAACAAAGTCTTAAAGATATATTAATCCAGTGGGAGAAGGGATAGATAGCATTTGAAACAGAACAAACAGCATGGGCACAGAGGGTTGGTGGTTTAGGGGCATTACCTATGGTACATGAATTTATGTGACAAGAGATGCGGCTGGAAAGGTAAGTCCTGTCTTCTTGGGAGTTGTAAAGTTATCAATAGGCTGAAACCATAGGAAGTCTTTAAAAGATTTTGAATGGAGGAAGTTCAAGATTAAATTAATGTTTTAGTAATGCCACCTTCTGGCAGCATATAGAAATTTGAATAAAGAGAAGATATGTTAGTCAAGGTTCTTTTGACTGCAAGGGGGAAAATACTTTAAGGCAGCATAAGTTAAAGGAGGGGTAGTTTATTGTGAATACATAGGGGTGTCTCAGGGGTCTTAGGGTACCCGGACCTCAGAAATGGACTGGAAAGCTGAATAGGAACTTCTGTCTCTTGCCTTTGCTTTGCCCTGTGTATCTGCTCATTTTTCCTTCCCTTTCTGTACTTCTTTGCCCGTATGGTGAAATATTGTCTTCTTATACTTTTACTACTTCAGGCATACTCTAAGACTGGGAATGTCTCCGAATCTCAGCTCCAGATTTTTAAGAGAGAGAGAAACTCATTGCTTAGGTTGGATTAGGTGCCCCCTGCCCTGATTCTAGTCAGATTTGGCTACTATAAACTTGACTGACTGGCCTTAATCCCTGTGTGACAAGGAGTAGAGGGGGACATGTTCTGAGAAGATGGGAGGGTTGTGAGCTAGGCACACACCATAAAAGTTGTCTTACAGAGGGTAATGGTAGACGCAGGGGCTAGCAGTAAAATCTAGGTATTAAATATTTGAGGGCCTGAGCTAAGGTTAGTTGGGTGCAACGTAGAAAGAGAGAAGAAAGAAGATTTAAGAGATGCTTAAAAAATTAAGTAAACTTAATTTGGTGCCTCATCAGATGTAGGAGGTTTGTGAGAAGGAAGGAGTCTACATTTCGTATTTAAATTACTGGGTATCTGGAGAAGAAATACTAAGTTTAAAGGCAAAGATGCTGAGTTTGGTTTGGACGCACTATATTTGTGGTCCCTATGGGATATTAAGTGTTGATGTTCAGTAGACACTTTTTTTTTCCTGTCCTAGCAGCAGTTCAATTCAGTAGACACTGGAATGTAAGATTTGGAGTGTAGAAGTGAGATTTCTGCTGAGATTTGGAAATTAACTGGATAGAGTTAGCAGTTGAAGTTGTGAATCTGGATAAAGTCACCTATAATGAAAAGTATAGAGAGCAGAGAATGGAATCTAGTGACCACTAGTATATATAGAAGGAGTGGAAGAAGAAGGGTTTTTCAAATGGCCAATCTGTGACATTAGACAAGGAGGGAGTATGTAATTTAGCACTACTGAAGAACATGAGTTCATGATATGCTAAAGACCTGAAAGATAAGGTAGAGTCCATGGCTTAGTAGTTAATAGCAATATGTATTGGGTATTGTGTTGTTTTACTTATTCCTGATAGCCATCCTGCTGTATTATTAACCCTGCTTTACAGGTCAGACAACTTAGGCACACAGAGGTTAAGTCACTTGCTCATGGTTTTACAGATAGAGGATGGTAGAGCCAGGATTTGAACTCATGCAGTCTAGCTCTTAAGTGTCTGTTCTTAACCCCTGTGCTTCATGTTTTCAAAGGAGATTGAGGGAGATTCTGACTTAGCTGGTTAGGGTAGAATATGTTACTAAAATGATTATGGTAATGGAGGACAAATTTTTTAAAATTTTATTTTTAATTGTGGTAAAATACGTATAAAACATAAAATTTACCAGCTTAACCATTTTTAAGTGTATAATTCAATAGTGTTAAATGTATTTATGTTGTTGTGCAGCAAATCTCCTTAACTTTCCAATCTTGCAAAATGGAAACTCTGTACACATTAAGTAGCTATTCTCCATTTCCCTGTCCCCCAGCTTCTGGCAACCATCATTCTACTTTCTGTCTCCATGAATTTGACTGCTCTAGATAGCTCATAAAAGTGAATCATCCTGTAATTGTCTTTTTGGGACTGCCTTATTTCATTTAGGATAATATTATCAGGATCCATTCATATTGCTGTGTGTGTCAGAATTTCCTTTTTGTGGATGGCAAACTTTTATTTATTAGAAAACTTTTTTATAGCCTTTACATGTTCAGAAGGATGTTGTTCTCATATTGGTTTTGAAAAAAATAATTGTATCAGAGGTGGTGACATATTTTGACTCCTTATACCCTCTATAATATCACATTAGCATAATTATCTAAATGTTCTGTATAAAAATTTGTAACAGAATATTTACTAAAAACTTATAAAAGCATTAAAAACAAATAATACCTTCTTAGTTTCTGATTTTTTTTGTTTGTTTAGGAAGGACAACTATGGTATACTTTTGTCCTATAGTGATACTGTGATCCATGGAACTCACAGGTTTAAAATACAATTTTTATAATATTCACAAGGATGCCTAAGGTCATTGACATACAGTACTAAGTTTTCTTATAGAGGCCAGTGTGTTTGGCATTGATATGGGAAGCATCTCACCCAGCTGGTGAAGGAGTGTAAGAATGCCCCGCATCTGTATCTCTGTTGAGGGCTGTGGTCAGAGTCGTCTTAACACTGTGAATATAACAGTGGAGTCCAGACTAGCTCCTCATTCACTACGTTGGAACTTTAGGAAGTTTCTTAAGTTTTCTAAGGTTGAATTTCTCTATTTGTAGAATGGGAATATTAATAGTTCTATACCATAGTGTTCTTCTGAGGATTAAACGAGGTAATGTGAATAAAGTGTTTAGCATGGTCACTGGCACATAGTAAGTTCTCAGAGAATGTAAGCTGTGATTATTATTCTTATTACTGTCATGTTTGATATACATGTGTTTGAAAAGTCCCAAATCATCTACTGTGGAGGGAAATCTATTTTATTCCTTGTTTCTATAATGGTTGTTTGCTTTAGCTTAATTAAGTTTAGGAAATATTAATCTATGCTAGGTACTTCAGAGGATTCAAAGTTGAGTAGTATACAATTAATGCCTTCAAGGAACTTGTACTTAGATGTTTAAAATAGAATAATTTTAACTATAGTGATTTTTTTAAGGTATATCTTCTAAAATGTTAAGTTTTGCTAAAAAAAAGTATAGGAAAAAATCTAGGTGAGAGTGTGGTTTGAACATTTTAAAACCATCTTAGAACTTCTGTAACACATTCTTTGACTTGTGGATTTTGTTTGTTTATTCCAGCCAGCACCTAACCAGGTCACTTTTCATCTGCCACTACATCGTTACTATGCTATGTTTTTGAGTAAGGTGAGACTGTCATGAAATAATTCTGTTCTGGGTTTTTTTTTTTTAATTTTGGGAGATAAGTATTGAATTAGTAACTTTGTTATCATAATTTTTAGGCTGTGAAATGTCAAGAATTAGATTTGGATTCTGTTTTACCAGATCAAGAAATGTTAATGAAACTAATGATTCACCCACTCCAAATTCAAGTATGTATTCAGGCTTTTAAAAAGTTTTGAATTGGATTCCTTGGTTAAAGATTCTTCCTTTGTTTTTTATCATTGTTAATAATGTTTTAGCCAAAATGTTTGAAAATCCTTTCTTTTTTTTTAAAAAAAATTTGAGTCCTTATATTTTTGCTGGATTATATTTAGGTATTTTTTTGTTCTATGAGATTTAGTTTTAATTTTCCCAGGAATTTTCATTATATTATGGGGGAGTTTTAATATACTGTAACACTATTTTGGGTGTCAAGAGACCCAACAGGTTTTACTTTTGGTGCTACCACTATTTTATTTCCCACATGGTTTAAGGTGATTCACCTCCTTGGTTCTCAGTTTCCCCATCTATAAAGTGAGAAGAGAAAGAAGAGAGAAGAATTTCCTTGTATAACCACTGTGATTTCTTTTAGTTCTGACACTATAATTTTGTGGGCCAACCTTTTATATACATTACAGGGACTTGTGCTTCAATTTGTTTTTCCTGGTAATTTTAGATTTGTTAATTATTTTTGGCCTTCAACTCTGGGGGTTAGGAACAAATAAGAGATAAAGTTATGACTACTTAGTTTTAGTTGATACTGGACATAAATACATGAAGAATTAAATACTAATATAGTAAGAAAATTTATTCTAATCTGACCCTTTCTTACCTCCAATTATTTAGAAAATGAGTAGTTTAGATTGAAGATTGGGTTAGGGTGTATTAAAGATGTGGATTGTATTCATTGACTTTGAACAATTGTCTGTATTTTGTGCTTATTCCAGTGTGTTTCTTTAAGCATTATGCAGGTTATGGTTTTTTTTGTTTGTGTGTTTCTTGGGGGATTTTTTTTTTTGAGGGAGAAATACAGTGAAACGTAAGCATTGATTCCTCATGAAAGACTTTAGTAAAAATTATTATAAATGTATCTAGAGGCTATCATGGAAAACTAGCTCATTTATAAACTCTAAAAAAGGTGGCTGTATAAAAACAGCATAATCATTATTTTAAAAATATTAAAGTATATATTTGAATTGAATATCTTTAACAATGGACAGAATGTCAGGCTCATACTATGATTAAGTCCTAAAATATTTTGAAATAGTTGTTTAATGTATAATTTTATAGAGATTGAATTTAGATGATTTATTCTTTGTTCAGTTTACTTATTTTTCATTTTATTAGGCAAGTCTTGCTGAAATCCACAGCAATATGTGGGTAAGAAATGGTCTGCAAATCAAAGGGCAAGCCATGACCTACGTTCAGTCTCATTTCTGTAATTCCATGATTGATCCTGACATTTACCTATTACAGGTAAGCCAACTTGATAATACAAATGTATTTTAGAAGTGTCTCATTTGTACACATGGGATTTTAATTTATAGAAGCAACTGAGTGACATGGAAAGGCCAGTACCATTGAAAGAAGAATTTATTACTTTAATCCCTAAGAGAAGGAGGATATGCCACACGACACAGGGTTACAAGGGAAATACCAGGTTTTGGTCACGAGACAGAAAGGAATGAAAGGAGAGCCTTTTTAAGAGCCTTTATTGGAGTTTCTGCAGGAAAGGCAGGGCAAGGCAGGATTGACTAGTTTGATAATTCTGACAGGCTTTGGTGGTGTAGGAGTTATATCTAGCTTTGTGGTACTTGGCCCTGGGTTAAATTAGGGCAGGGACATATCAGGTTGATGTGTGAGAGTTAGATAAACACAGTAGTTGGCTTGCATGAGAGGCATGTTCTCAAGTAAGTTGTTTACTATGTTTAGGGATTAGCTGGCCCTGAGAGGGGCATCTCTCATGGGGTCTGCAAGAGCCCCCCAAGATGTGAAAGCATCATAAGATATAGAAATTAAAAAACATGGTTAGTCGAAGAAAAAGTAAAACTGAGTATTGAAGCATTTTGTTTTCTTTTAAAGGTTTGTGCTTCTAGACTTGACCCAGATTATTTTATTTCATCTGTCTTTGAAAGGTAAGCATAATTTTGTTAAGACAGGTATTAGGAAGTGTTTGAGATGTAAGTTAATTTTGTTTTAACCTCTAAAAATCTGTCTCAAATATTTCTTTTAGATTTAAGGTAGTGGATTTGTTGACAATGGCATCACAACATCAAAATACAGTACTTGATGCAGAGCATGAGAGATCTATGTTAGAAGGCGCTCTTACATTTCTTGTGATTCTTTTGAGTCTTCGTTTACATTTAGGTAAAACCCACTAATGCTAATATTTAAGTGTTAATTGTACTCCCCTCTTTCCTCCCTTCTCCCTCGTGGTAGTAATTGGCTGATGGAAAAAAGGAAAGGATGTGGATATATTTAAACATTATTTCAAACTCTTGATATGTTATACAATTGATACACCTTTCAGAATATCTTTAAAATCCTTTGCTTAAGGAACTGCAGACAGCAAAGTAGTTAAGCTGCAGTTGTATTTGAGGCATTGCTTCTTTACTTTTTAATTTGAAGCATCTTGTATTTGGTAAAACAGTTTAATAAAATGTGTGGTAAGTTGTTTCTTTATAATTTATATACACACTCAGATTTATTAATTCTGTTTTTAATAATTTTAGGAATGTCCGATGACGAGATTCTCAGGGCAGAGATGGTAGCCCAGCTGTGTATGAATGACAGGACACATAGTTCATTGCTGGACCTCATATCCTTTTATAAGTTTAATTTTCTGTTAGTTGCAGGATCTAAAGTAACAATTTTTATGGATTAAAGGTATATCAATTTTTTGATTCAAAATGTTTTTGAAGTCAAAAAACAAGATAGAAAAAGAACTCCAGTTGTTTGCTCAAGTATGTGTTCAGAGCTGGTAACGGGGTTTTTTTTACCTCCTATTATGACCTCTGGGGGAGCTCTCCTTAAACTTCAGGGTAGACCTCAGGGTGGCTTTGGGCACCTCAGGTTCTAACCTTCTAGAACAGCGTTAGTGAAAGGAAGCTGGACATTTTGTAAAAGGCAACTAGGTCTCCTTTATCTATGTAGCCAGGCTGGAATTCATGGTTCACAGTTAAAGGTATACCTTATAATTGTTATTACCAGGATTTTAAACATTCCGATGATTTTTTGTTAGAATTCAGTCGTAAAGAAAGTTTGAGTTTGTAGATTACTGTCTACAAACTGGGGACTTGTGGTACTTTATAGAGGACAGCACACAATGGGTACCTTATTTTTATTAATAGTTAATGAAATTTTAGGCAAAGATTATCATGGTTTTGTTGTTGTTGTTGTTGTTGTTTTGTTTTTTTAATAGATAGGGTCTCACTATGTTGCTCAGGCTGGCCTAAAACTCCTGGGCTCAAGCGATCCTCCTGAGTAGCTGGAACTATAGGCATGTGCCACCGTACACAACTCTATCGTGTTATTTTGTGATGAAAATAGATGACTAAATTTAGTATGTGTATGTCTTATGACTGTGTTTGGAAGAATTAGCTAAAAATTTGGTTATTAGAATTTTGACTATTAGAATGCATGTTTGACAACTTTGAAGATTTTCATAAGCAGCATCAATTTGATAATCTCTGATGATTTCAGTCAGTCATTATATGCTGTATTTCAGTGATATTATACAGCAAAAGCATTCTTTGTAAATTTGAATTTTAAAAAGAATTATATACCTTAATGTGAAAACAAACGGGAGAGAATCTTTGTGGTTTGCTGCTTTCCTTCTTTGTTCAAACTTGCTTAGCATCTTTTTTTCGGTGGGGGGGCAGAATATATTAATCTTTTTTTCTTTTAAGAGACAGGGTCTTGCTCTATTGCCCAGGCTGGAGTGCAGTGATGCAATCATAGCTCACTTGCAGCCACAAACTCCTGGGCTCAAGTGATCCTCCTGCCTTAGCCTCCTGAGTAGCTGGGACTATAGGTGTGTGCCACCACACTCAGCTAATTAAAAAATTTTTTTTGTAGAGATGGGGGTCTCACTTTGTTGCCCAGGTTGGTATTGAACTGCTGGCCTCAAGTGATCCTCCCACTTTGGCCTTCCAAAGTACTGGTATTAAAGGTGTGAGCCACTGCATCTGGCCTCTTTGGGGATATAATTTTGTTTTTGGAAAAATAATCTTTGCTCGTAAAAGTCTTGGCTAATTTTTAGTATATTCTTTCTGGTTTTTTTTTTCCGGAAAGGTACAACATTATTTGCAAAATGATGAAAATGAAGATCAATTAAAAAAAATTTTCCCCTCATTTTATGAAAGTTGATGAATTTGTTTTGGGGAAAATATACCTGGGAACTACTACAGTATGCAATTTATTAGTAGGTTCCTAGTCACAAATATATTAAAATATCAAAAATAATTAAGTTATTATTGAACTGTTGTATAATATAGCCCTCTTGTGGCCAACTTTATATATTACAGCCAATTACTATTTCTGTGGTTTCTTTTTTTTTTTAAATTTCAGAATATTATGGGGGTACAAACACTTTGGTTACATATATTGCCTTTGCACTGCCCAAGTCAGAGCTGCAAGCATGCCCATCTCCCAGAAAGTGCACACCACACCCATTAGGTGTGAATTTACCCATCTCCTCCTCCCCGCTCCCATGTGCCCGGGACTATTTCTGCGGTTTCTATAGCAAAATCAGAAACTAGAGTACCTTGGAAAGCCTGTGAAACTGACTTCTTGCCATTAATGTTTTTTTCTTGACACATACCTCATATTCCAGAAAATCCCAATCCCAAAAGTGGCATTATTCCAGGCAGTTACAGCTTTGAATCCGTTTTATCAGCTGTAGCTGATTTTAAGGCTCCTGTTTTTGAACCTGGAGGTTCTATGCAACAAGGCATGTATACTCCCAAAGGTATGTTTATATACATAGATATACTCTTTCAAATATCAGTTCTTTGCAGGTGAATTCTTGTGTGTACTGAAAGAAAATGAGTAGCCTTTTATGTGAAAACAGGGACAATGGTTCTTGTGCTAGAAAATTGAAATTATAGTGGATATTTTACGGCAGGAGTTTAAGCTTCTTACCATGTTTTCAGATGTTAAGAATTTTGCTAGAGAGAATGAGAGGAGGAAAAACCTTAATCTAGGAAAGTCTTAAGGCAGTGGTTTTTGAAATTATTATTCTTAGCCTACCTTTTAGATTTTTGCCACATCTAAATATCATTTCTACTATTATATACTTAGTATTTCAGTATTTTCTTTTCTTTTTCTTTTAGAGACAGGGTCTCACACTCTCATCTAGGCTGGAGTGCAGTGGCGCGATCACAGCTAGCTGCAGCCTCAAACTTCTGGGCTCAAGTGATCCTCTGCCTCAGCCTGGCGAGTAGCTGGGACTATAGGCATGCACTACCATGCCTGGCTAATTTTTCTATTTTTTCTGGAGATGAGGTCTTACTTCATTGCCCAGGCTGGTCTTGAACTCCTGGCCTTAAGTGATCCTATTGCATTGGCCTCTCAAAGTGCTAGGATTTCAGGCATGAGCCACTGGGCCTGGTCCAATATTTTCTTAAATGGGTTAACTTTTAAAAAAAGCCTTCACTTCATCCTAAGCATGGTTATTAGTGAAGTGTCATGAGGTTGTTTTTTTTTTTTTTTTTTTTTTTTTGCAATTTGCAGTTTTCTGATAAACACTAAAAATTGTGTAATTATTAAAATAAAAAGCTTTATATAAATAATACTAAAAATCATCTTTTATACCACCAGTTGTACATATATCACACATGGGATAGTGGTTCCTAATTATGCAGAAGGTAAGGAGACCAATTATCAGTTTTAGCAGCAAAGCAGAAAACCTTTTATAAACAGAAAAGGTTTGTAAAGTGAGACTCTTGAAAATCAACAACTCGTTAATTTTGTAATCTAGTTTTCGTGTTTTTACCTTTGAATACTTTTAAAGGTGTTAATGCACTGTCTTTCTTACTTTCCAATTGGCACCTTACAAAAAACCCAATGAACTAAAATTTTCTTGTGAGGCATTGTTATGTTACAAGCCTTTTGCACACTAGTTCTTGCTGAAGTCAAGAGAGCATTCCTAATGATGAAATTTTGTGATTTTTGATTTAGAAAATTTAGTCATGACATCAATCTTATTAAGGCAAACACTATAATCAAATTAAACCATTCCATCCTTTAAATTTAAAATGTACTTAACAAATATAATAAATCATTAAAAATTGACTTTATTATTTAGAAGTCAATGTTCTGTTTCTACTTTCTTTTGAATAATAGCTGAAGTTTGGGATCGGGAGTTTGACCCCGTCATGGTCATTCTTCGAACGGTTTACCGTAGAGATGTGCAGTCTGCAATGGACAGATATACTGCATTGTAAGTCTATCAAATTGATTAGTATCATAATGGAATATTGTGTATTTATATAGAAAAACTTCTTATAACACAAGTGTGATATGCTCTCGTTGAAGCATACTCTTGATCTTTTTTTTTTTGAGACAGAGTCTCACTCTGTTGCCCAGGCTAGAGTGCAGTGGCGTCAGCCTAGCAAACAGCAACCTCAAACTCCTGGGCTCAAACAATCCTTCTGCCTCAGCCTCCAGAGTAGCTGGGACTACAGGCATGCGCCACCATGCCCGGCTAAGTTTTTCTGCATATTTTTAGTTGTCCAGCTAATTTCTTTCTATTTTTTAAGTAGAGATGGGGTCTTGCTCTTGCTCAAGCTGGTCTTGAACTCCTGAGCTCAAACAATCCGCCCGCCTCGGCCTCCCAGAGCCTTAGGATTACAGGCGTGAGCCACCACACTGGCCTATACTCTTGAT